ATAGTAGCCCCCCTTCCCCCGTTGTAAGGAGAGGACCCTAAACCCCTAAACCCCTAAACCCTAAACCCCTAAACCCCTAAACCCTAAACCCCTAAACCCTAAACCCCTAAACCCCTAAACCGTAAACCTCTAAACGCTAAACCCCCAGACCCTAAACCCTAAACCTTCTAGGGGTGAGGGTCCAGCGGACTCTGATTAATGTTGGGGCTCAGCAGCTCAGACTGTGGGTTCGTCTGTAAGGGTAGTTCTCGAAGTTTGGGTCTCTTTTTGGGTCCCCAAAGTATATGGTTTAGGGTTTAGGGTTTAGGTGTTTAGGGTTTAGGGTTTAGGGGTTTAGGGTTTAGGGTCCCCCAAAATAATACGGCACCCTTTAAAGCAGGAGCCTAAAACAGGACCCTACTTTAGAGAACTACTCAACTGGCCCATACGGGTTCTCCGGGACTCGGGATTCTCTGGGTCAGCTCTTCGGTGTGGTGCGAGAGGGTTTTTTGTTCGATGAGTGCAGCTTCTTAGATGCATAAGGTGCGTCCAGGGGTTAAGATTCGGTGTAAAGGGTTCGCAGTTTTATGACTTCAGCTTTTTGGGGTCGTCAGGTTTCCAGGGTGTGTAGGATTTCGTTCTAGCTTCAGGAGTTTGTGTTTGACTGCCAGGGCCTTCGGGTTTAGAGCGAAAAATCCGTTGAGAAGGTTTAGTCGGGTCTGGGCTTCGCAGAGTGTAGTTCGTTTACTGGGCTTTGGAGTACCATACTAATACGTTGATGCTTTTTTTGGGGGGGGGCTTGTTCCTTAAAGGAACCATGATGAAATAAAAGTCTATACTTTTTTCTGCCTGGTTATTTCACTTTCCAGTTTAGGGTTTAGGGTCTCGGGTTCGCCTTAGGGCCTTCGGGTTTGGAAACTTGAGGGTTCACGGCTATGAAGTTAGGCCCCGCTCCCTAAACCCTAATCCCTCAAGCCCGAAGCCTAAAGGCTTACTTCACCCTAAACCCTAAACCCTAAACCCTAAACCCTAAACCCTAAACCCTAAACCCTAAGACCCTTCAGGGGCATCTGCTATGGAGGATCCTTTCTCGCAAGGGTTCAGCGAAGCCCTTCAATGTTCAACGAGTAGTCCGCAATTAAGGGTTTAGGGTTTAGGGTTTAGGGTCCCTAAACCCTAACCCCTACACCCTAAACCCTAAACTCCACAGGCCCTACGTCCCCAAAGCCTGAGGCTTCAGGTCCCCAGACCCCAAACCCCAAAATCCCTTGTCCTTGAGCACCAAACCCCGAAGCTCCAAACCTTGAAAGGATTTAGGGTTTAGGATTTAGGGTTTAGGGTTTAGGGTTCAGGGTTTAGGGCCTCAAGCCCCGAAACACCAAACGCTAAAGCCCTAAAGCCCTAAAACCCTAAAGCCCTAAAGCAGTGGTCTCTGGGGACAGCGCAGGCGACCTCGCCATTCACCAATTCGACCTGCCGGTGTCACCCCTTCTCTGCCCAGGCCAAGCTGCTGCACTTTGAGTCCAGGGTTTAGGGTTTAGGGTTTAGGGTTTTGAGTTCAGGGTGCTCCTAAAACCCCTAAACCCCTCAACCCCTAAACCCCCCCTAGACCTCTGAACCCCTGAAACCCTAAACCTTGAACCCTCAGCCCTACGGCCCCTTTTTTGGAAAAACCCTAAACCCTAAACCCTAAACCCTAAACCCTAAACCCTTATTAGGGTTCGGGGTCTAGGGCTTGAGGTTAGGAGTCCTTAGGAGTTCGGGGTTAGGTTTTCGGTTCTAGAACAGTTTAGGGTTTAGGGATTAGGGTTTAGGGTTTAGGGATTTGGGTTTAGGGATTAGGGTTTAGGGTTTAGGGATTAGGGTTTAGGGTGTAGGGTTTAGGGTTTAGGGAGGGGCTTTAGGGGGCAGGGGGTTTGGGTTTAGGGTTGACTTCGGGTTTGGGCGCGTCACAGCAAGTTTCTTGAGTTCGCCTCCCAAGTTGTCAGCATTGCGAGCTTTTTTGCGGCTCGAGGTTCAGGGTGCAAGGGTGTAAGGGTTTAAGGGTTTAGGGTTTAGGGCTTAAGGGTTTAAGGGTTTAGGTTTAGGGTTTAGGGTCTAAGGGTTTAAGTTGGGAGTCGCCCCCGCCCATTAACAGCCAAATACTACTTTCCCTATATGTACCACCCCAGAAAAAGCACAACTACTTGGAGGCCTCCGGAGTTTCCGGTTTTGGGGGGCTCCAACTGTTCA